TTTCATTGCAATCATTTGATTCCCAAATGAGGACTTGCTTTCCATCTTTATATTAAACTCACAACCTGTATAAAAATAATGGAATTACATTGCATTTATATTGTGAATTATGTAAAGGGATTATTAATGATTTGATTAATTAATCATTTGACATAATTTATGGTATAACTGATAGTGATACCCACGATACATGTAACAGTATATCAGACAGAAGCCAGTGTACAGACCCATGGTTAAACCTGTGGGTCCACAGCTAAATTTACCAAAACTCATCTGTCTGGTCCAATCTTAAGAGATGGGACTCAAGATGCTATCCCATCTTTACTTTGGTCTTTGTAAATATCATGAAGAGTGTCTAGAGACATTAGTTAAAAATTGGCACTACATAAATATTGATTTGTTGATTTATTTGTAATGTCACCCCTCTAGGTCTTTTAGGTTTACCAAAGTAAGAGATACAACAAAGAATACCTGTTCAAGAACATCCAGTTTCAGGTCCAGCTTGCTGAGCACGACATCTCCTCCCCAGAGAGACAGCTGCAGGTCAGAAGGCTTCAGATTCTTTATATACTTGTTCACATAGCTCATCAGCAGGGGTGTGACGTAGGATTCCAACATCTTGTCCCTGTCTGAAATGCAGATATGATCATTTAGGGCATAGTATTCACATCAGTAGCAGTACTTGTTAAGCCCTTCTTACTTTACCAAAACAAAGGTAGACTGTACTCTGATGGTTGTAGCTTTAAACTCTGAAACTCACTCCAGAAGCATTTCTGATGTGGAAACACTGATAATATCAATAAAAAAGCAGCCCCACTCATTACCATTTTATTAACCTAACTCATATTACTTATTCTTCCACTTTGTCTGCAGTTCAGGTATGTTTGTGCGATTATGCTGAGGGTTTTTAGTCACAAACCCATCACAGTTATCGATCAGACATTTCACTCCCACACTTCCTTCATCCTGACAACCAAGCTTGGAAGTACATGTGACATCTTATACATTATACTTACGTGAGATAAAACAACACTCGTGGATTACAGCTTTCACTTTACTATCGTATTTTCAAACAGATTTTCTTACTTGTAACTTCTGAATTAGCCCTTTGTTTACATGTCATTACTTCACAGATACACGACTGAAGAAGAAAGGTGACCAGCGGTTAGAGACCCCGTGTAACATGTGTTAAACAATAAAACTACAGATATCTGAGTGTTTAAATATGGGGAGTATCTGATTGACTGTATGTTAACAAATGTAATTGACTTCAGAGTATTTATCCAGAGAGACTGACTCTGCTCTCCTGTCATTCTGGCTGTACACACAGCAGCAGGGCAGAGAAGCTAAGCTAAGCTAAGCACAGTAAAAGTCGCCCTAACTTCGTTTTGCCTTGATAAAATGTCCAGACACGGCTAATAAAGGATGAACCAATGCTTACTTGTCACCTGCTTATGTCCTTGACGTACTTCTTGAATTCAACGGTAGCAGAAACATCCTCGACCCGCTAAGTGACGTTAGCCATATCTGTCCACGGCTGCAGCCGCATACGTCATCACTAAACACCAACGCGGCTTCCGTAGACATTGTGTTGCCTTTATGTCCTGTAGGAAATTTGCAATCTAGCGCGCATATGTTCGTCAAATCCATCGCTCTGAGACATGGCGCGATTTTTTACTTATCTTTAAGGCGTCAGCGCTCACTAAGAGAGAGAAATGCGAGGAACATAATCGAGCAAATGTCTGATTCAAGCTGTGTCTTCCTTGCTCTGTTGATGCCGCTTCATGGGTCAAACATGAGCCAAGAATGAAAGATTAACCGCTTCTAGGTTATTTTTTAAATGTAAGATTTATTAATATGTTTAATTAAAATTGGCCTCTATTAGCCAGGACGTTATCATCGAGACACCAAGAAAGCTTCATTGTTTTGTATCCTCACCCACAGCTTTCACTCAAGCTTCCTTTGGTTAAAGGAGTAAAACACTCACTTCACAGGCAGACAGCTCCTGTTGGGTCAGTGTGGAGATACTTCACTTTTTCAAATGGTTCAAATATTTTTAGACTAAACGCTTCATTCTGCTTTCAAATCAGATTTTATTTCAGAATTAGAGATTATCTGTCTGATTCACAGACAACGCCGAAAAGTCAGTGAAAATGTATGATCTTTGCACCTTTGTTGTTACCTTTACTTTATATCAAATGCTCAATCGTTCTGTCTATCTATCAATTTACCAATAAATCAGTCACTGAACTGTGACTAAAGCTTTTACATGACACTTTCTAAAAAGAGCGCTCTGCATTGTCCACTCCTGTGTTTGATAATCCAAAGTTAGGCTACCCTTTTAATTTTATCCAGGGAAAAATATAAATAATGCTCCCCGGATGAATTTTCACTGGAGTGCTAACAATGGACCCTCACTAAAGTGTAAAGATGGGGAATTATTGTAAAAAATAAGAATATCTTTATTTAAATTAAAATGAGCTGTAACAGTAAAGCTTTATCCGAGACTTAGCCCATTGCTATTAATTTATTCTGACAGTAACACTGAAGTGAGGGTGACCTAAAAATAGATCTTATCAGACTATATGTGAGGGGGGAACAGGTAACAGTCCAGTTCTCTTGATGATCATCTAGCCTACAGAAGAGGGACATTCACTTTGGCTGTGTCCTGAAATCAGCCCTCACACTCCGCTAATTGGAGCGCACTGAAGGGAGGGGGCGGAGGGGAGGGGGGTGTCACTAAAGAGGCTTTATTCCTCTGGTTCATATTCACAATGTCCTTCAAAAGAATGGCAGAAGAACCGAGAGTCCAGCTAAGCCTTACCTCTGTCCGCTGAATCAAGCTTTCTGTGGACAGAATCCACGCAGCAGGTCAGCGCTGACGCTCACGCTGTGACTAGTTGATAAACTACTGCGGACGAGCGCCAGTGTAATAATTATGCTTACATGATTGTGAGAGTAATCATGCCCCAGAGCAATAACAGAGCAGTGTGAAATCATGTTTTCTTAGTTTACACCTGACCCCAGCTCATTGATGGTGAACCAGTTAAACGATCTAAAAATCCGTCTAATCCACACATGTTAGATCCTCGTGTTTTAAATGTTATCATTTAGATCCTTCAGTGCGCATGAACCAGACCTGTGGGCTTTTACATTCATTTGAGTATTTGGCCAATGATATTTAGCTTATAAAAGATTTCCAAAAGATCTCCGAAATTTTTTAATATAAAATATATTAGAGTCTGAAGTGAAATTTTGTTTGTTTGTTTTCAAACTTTGAATTTAAACTCGATCATTTCAACAGATTTTTTACACAAAGGCTTGAAAAATGATAAATTGTTACAGCTTTTCTTCAACCTTTTCGACTTATTAAAATAAAACAGTGCATTCAGCGTAACTCTATTTACAACCTGTTTAATTTTTTTCTAAATAGTCTTTTAATTGGAGATTCACAACTGCTGGAAAAATCCGAAGACTGTCATTATAACAAAGGAGATGAGGATTTTTATTGTAAGGGCATTATGGTTGGACGTAGCCTAATGATAATGATAATACTACTACTACCACTACTACTACTACTACTACTACTACTAATAATAATAATAATAATAATAATAATAATAATAATAATAATTTGCCTATCATTATTATTGTTATTACCATTATTATTATTATTAAGTCTGTAGGTATTATCCTTTCCACCAACAGGTTTTAGTTTAAAGTTTCAAAGCTTGTTGACTTGTTTTAAGTTTTTTAAAACAGAGATTTTTTTCCCATAAGGTAGAGGTGCAGCACGTCATTCTTATCGCACTCAGAAATCATGAAAGCCTGCACTGTGGTGGGCCTCAGTACATGCCCTGTCTCACTGCCTCTTTAAACCCTGTTTGCTTTTGATGCTACTCTCTACACTTCATTATTTTGATTAAATTGATCAAAAATAATTTCCTTTTTTTTCATGCACTCACTCTATACTCACTCACGCTTTATTATCGTTTATTAATAAGTCCCCAGCACGAAATAGAGATGGTGAAACATTTAAACAGCAGGCCTCAAGGCCAAGTAACACAGCAAGCCAGAGTGAGGAGTGGGGAGTCAGAAAAGTGAGACTTTGTTTTTCCCTCTCCGAATTATTAAGGAAGAAAGAAAGAAAGAAAGAAAGAAAGAAAGAAAGAAAGAAAGAAAGAAAGGATTAAGGTCTGATCATCCTGCTACGGGTCAGTCACTGGTGGTTAATATTCAAGCGCAGGACTGGTGGCCGATCAAAGGTTGGCTGGGTCAAATCCAAATTTTTCCAATTAAGTTTGTTAGCATATTTGTACATAAATCATGGTGTTAAAACATGGCGACCGAAACCCCCAGTATATAATCTGCTTGTTATAATATAAAATCAGAGGTTTATTTTGTTAATGGATTTGTCGCTCAACATTCTGCACCTGTTATAAACTATAGGTCCGGGCTGCGTAAAGAGACAGCACACACACACACACACACACACACACACACACACACACACACACACACACACACACACACACACACACACACACACACACACACACAACTCTGCCACCATGATATACCAGAGGTGATGTGGATAAAGGCTTTAGTGTGACTTTTGTGGTGGGTCACTCATCAGTCTCTGTGGGCCAGGTGGGCTGATGATTATAAAGGAGCTCAACAATCTTAAGGTACATTCAAAACTGATTATATGTGATGCTTATAGACGTGGGCCTATGTTGTTTCTTTTCCCTTTTTTTTTTCTAACGCCGATGGTTTGGCATTTCTCTGTCACTGTCCCACTCGCAAAACTCCTGAGAAATGACATCTATGTTCCCACCAGTTTACATTCAACGCGTGAAAGCCCAACAAGACATCATCAGAGCGTAGAAAACAAGAATAAACTCAATTAGATGACATGCGTAGGAGGATGGGAGTTACGCATGAACACTGTGCCTGGTTCTTCAAATTACTGCTGATGTCATGAAAAAGGAAAGAGTAAGTGAGCATGTAACGGAAATATTTATTTTTAAAATACAATTTAACATACTTTAAACTTATTGCTGTTCTTTGACAACTTTATCATTCAATGTCAGGAAAGAACACGAAGAAGACAGACACAGTATGTACATGGTCTTGATATTTACAGGTGGTGTGAAAGCTGGACATGGCTATCTCCGCTGCTGTCACTGTTGAGGTGCAAAAAAATCCAACTGATGTGCCGCAGTAAACGTGTCCTGGTTTGTTGATTGTCTTTGTTTTTTTGTTTTGTTTTAATCTCCGACTTGTCCTCCTGCGTTTTGACCATTGTCTATTTGTTAGTCTGTCCAGCTAGAAGTCCTGGTGAGGGCTGTGCGTCAAACTGTGCCGTCGCAAGTCACAGTTGCGCCGAAACACCTTTCCGCAGCGGCCACAGCTGTAGGGCTTGATGTCTGTATGGGTGAGAAGGTGAGTTTTCAGGTTACTTCTTTGATTAAAGGTTCTTCCGCATGTGGGGCATTTGTGGGGGGACTCCTGTTTAGATTTAAAGCAAGCAAAAAATTATTCCCTTTAATTGTATCGAACGGCTATCATGTATTAACTGACCAGTGAAGTCCTATTAGCTTAGTTCAAGGCACTCAGACCAATTTCCACATAAAATGTGTATGTTATTTAAAATGTAAATCTCTGTTACATGAACTAATAAACTCAATAATCAAGTGGCCACAACTCCATTGTTTAAAAGACGCATCAATATCCGCATATACATACAGGAGACAGTGAATAACGTGCTTTATGATCACAAAATATCACTGGTTTTGACAGACTCATGCATGCTGACAGTATTTTCAGCTTACCTGCATATGTAAGGTTTTGTGTACGGCTAGAGTTCGAGACTGACAAAATCCCTTCCCACACTCTTGACATTTGAACGGTTTTTCCTTGGAATGGATGTATCTGTGAAACAGAAATAACACTTCATCAAAGGTCCACTCATGCATATTTCTTTTTCTTTTCTTTTCTCGTGATCTTATTTTTATTTTGAGTAGAGGTAGCAGTCCAACAGCAATCAGTAAAAAGGAGAACATTTCTGCCCTGTAAGTTATGAGGGTCCAACTTTAGAGCGCTCTCACTGGCAAACATCTGCAATCAGTTTTGATTTGATGTCAAAGAAAACGAGTAAGATTTTAGCTCTCCAAAGTTCAGTCCAAGAAATATATCACGAAACATAGCGTCCACCCCTCCTACCCCCGACACACACACGAGCGCACGCGTACACACACAGAATAAATAAACAAACAAACACATAAATAAAATAAATAAATAAATCAAAACTCCCAGCTGTGTTACACCGTCCGACCATGTGTGAAAATAGAGTTTACCTGTGGTCTCTGAGATGGTCCTGTCTTCTGAACGCCTTGTGACAAATATCACAGGTATAGGGCCTCTCGTCTGTGTGGGTCCTCTCGTGGATCAGGAGGTTATAAGACTTGGTGAAATGCCTGCCGCAGAACTTGCATATAAATTCCTTTTTAGTCTTGGACGGGAGCCTTCCACGGGTGGGTTTTCTGTCTGGGGACAGCTTGCTCAGCTCTGAGATGGTTCCTCCTAGTCCCGATGCCAACTTCGTCAGGTCCGTAGCTTTCGGTGGGTCCTCCTGGGTGGCAGCGAGGGCCAGATTAGCGAAGTCAAACCTCGGCCTGTCCTTGTGTAAGGAAGGGACGCCGTGCGCTATGCCGGCCTGTTTTGGGTGAAAGAGCTGTGCAGCGGCTGAAAAGGGTAACGCTGGGAAGGGAATCCTGGGGTCTACTAGACCCTGGGCGGCTGCCATCTCTGTGATTGTCGACCTTAGTCCTTGGATGTGCGGATAACCAAGAGTCCAGTGATTCATGTGCATGGTTTGCACAGCGCTGAGGCCGTACAGTCCTTGCAGCTGGTCAGCGGGGAAAGTGTTAACGGCCTGCAGGAAGGAGTAGTTTGTAAGCTGGAGGGCCGGGTGCAGTGGGATCGGAGCGTGCAGAGCTTTACTCCCCATCTCGGCTCAGACCTCCACGGAAGACACGGTGACAACCCTTTGGAGGGGGAAACAAAACAATACATGTTGTGCATAAATGTCATTGAAGAGCCAGCTCTAAAGCGGTCACACGGGCGGAGAAAGTCGAACCTCTGATGTGTGATCGCGCTATAGTGTAAAAATCCAGTTTTACAGCCCACTACAAATTAATAACACTCTTTCTACAAACTGGACATGCGATGAGTGTAAGTGGGCAGATTTTCTTTTTTTCTGAGCAGATTAAACTGGATAGGAGACCCCTGTCATTGTAAAATTAAAAAATAAAAAAAATGGAAGGAAAAAATAGAGACAAAAGAAGTATATCCTGTATGTTACTAAAGCGATCTATGTCAGCTGGAAACTGGACTGCATTCAAAGCAGTTTTATAAATCAAATTATTCATCAAAACAGTGAGTAAAAGAAGAGTATAAAGGGAGAGGATAAATTACAAATACAGAACATCATAAACACTCAGACTGATCAGAGACTTCACCTTGGTTTTTTGCTTGTTGGTGTAAATTCATGACTGGTTGGTGTTTTAGTTGTTCGAAGTTTTGCAGGCTTTAAAATATAAATGCAGTAAATGCATTGGCCATGCTGTCTGTCAAACAGAAAGACGATTTGGTCTAAAGAAGAATTAGGCTACGTGTATTTTTCAATGCCTGCGCTGAGTCCACAATAAATTTACAGGGATAAATATCAAGCTTTAAAGTCCGTTTTATATCTAGGGTTTTCTCTGGACAAAAAAGTTCGACGCAAACAGAGACTTTGCTTTAAAAAGGTAAACGCTGTTTGAGGTGAGCTGACGGTCCACGAGTGTAAACTGACAGGCTCAATGTTTGTGGGGATGACAGGTCGTGTTTTCCCACACTGAGGAAGCACCAGTTTCGTTCAAGACTTCAGATGGTGAAAATGAGCTGACCCTCAGATTAGTTGAAAATAAAATGAGAGACGAAAAAATTGTTTTGCATAACATAACGCAATGCTCTGTCAGATCTGACTAAATCACAGTCTTGTATTTATGAGCCTGAACCTTCGCTGGGTTTGGGCATTCGTCCCAACTACAGAGAGTTTACAGGGGGACAGTGTTGCGGACATGGTTGTAGGGCTGCAGCTTGTTTCGGTCAGAGATTTGAACTCGCCTCACTTTGCATTCACGTTGACGGACGTGATAGTGTGATTTTCAATTCTGCACAGGTGCACCGAAAATCCTCATGCATGCTCTTATTCGTCCGTGTCAATCTGTATTGTGCTTGCTCCTTTCTCAACAACCTTTGGACTTCATTTACACGTTGACAGCAGCCTAAGTAGTGCCCTGCCGTCTTTGAATCCCCGTCACCGTCTTTTTTGGCAGGTTTTCAGTCAGCAGTGACATGCACCGCAGAGGCGAAGGCCACAGCTTGTTTCAGGGTTATTTCGCGCAGTGGGCCCAGAGAAGAGATGTCAAAACTGGGTGAACTATGACCTCAAACGTGCGATCATCGCGAGGCAATGATCATTTTTGAAAACAGTATTTGATTAAGCTTTGTTCGACTACAGTAAACACCTTTACGAATCTCTGATGAGCTATAAGAGAAAGTATGATTTTTCTCTTTAGATAAAAAGTTGTACAAGCGAGTTGAAAGGCGATGGTTTCCCTCCTACACAAGACTGAGTTAAATCTCACAGAACAGAACCTTACCCCAATAAATAGCTGCCAAAAGTCCTGGAGAAAGTCAGTAATCCACAGTAACTCTGGAGGCGACAAGCTCAAATAAAGGTCTTTCAAGTTCCAAGTCCTGTCAACTTTCATGTGGCCATGTAGTCAACTCTGAGGCTCTCGTAGCTTTGCAAAGGCGTGACAGGTTAGGAAAAGTTGTGGAAGGAGACGAAGAAGTTCGGGGGAGAGACAGCAGCAATGTGGGAGTCCCGTCTGGGGCTGGAAGTGTGCGTAATGCGCACCGGTCCTTCACTTTTCAGGGCTCCGGGCTCTAAAGCTCTCAGCCCGCCCTCCGACACGCCTCCACCCCCTCTTGTATCATTAACTTCAATGTTCCTCTTCTGTTTATTTGTGTTTGGATAGCAACTAGGGCTACAGACCATCGTAGAGGAGCGTCTTCAGCTCAAGCCGCTCTCCTTTGACACCACTCATATACGATAAAGCCAGGGCTGATACCTTCTTCTGGAGTCACGATTGGAAGGGCAGGAGGAAACCCTGCTCGTTTTCCCTCTACACCACGCTTTTGAAAACGTGCTTTTGGATACTTGAGCAGCTTACAAGATTTTTTTAAACCATAGACTTCGTTTGCGAAAATGGGAGGCACATGCGAGAGTCACCACATTCAATCTTTAATTTCTGAGCGGAAAGAGTAAAAAATCTGAGGTTTGTGGGGAAAAAAAATTCATGTGATCAGCCGCACGGTGAACAGATCCAAAGTTAACAGCTGACACAACTTCTTTTCTTCAAGCAAAGGGCGTCACTGGTTTCCTTGGGAACAGAAAGTATGTACATGTACGCACAATTACATTTATGCACTTTTTCAACACCAGCACTGAGGCGGAGAGTAGTACTTTAGGCTCCATGAGGGAACCTGGTCTCATTTCAGTGTTAATTTAATTGTATTTACAAACCAGTTAGACACATGACAGACCAAAAATAGCGAATATCCTATTAAAGTGATCTAGACAGAGAGGCATAAAACAGCCAATGTGCTGAGGAACCAGAGTTCAGAAACACCAACTATAATACAACCATTCAGCCTCACTTGACTTAAACCTGGACTGATTTTCTTTAAGGTTTTGGAGTTAAAAAACATGAAGAGTAAAAAAAAATACAGATCTGCCCTACACGGAGAAAGACAGGGAAAGCGGGGAATGTGTTTACGCACGGCAGCAGACTGCTCTTCATCAGGTGCTCACAGACTGAAGACGACCAGTTTGATAAAATAATCATAAAATATTTAGTCAACAAATAAAAAAATGGATTAAAAATAAAAGTAAAAACATATTTTAGCATTTAAAGGAACGGAGAGCTGCTGTGACTTAGTGAAATTCAAAAATGCTCCATTCAAACCTTTTGTCAGCAGTTTTTGTTATTTCCCTGCAGATCTCCGTTATTTTCTCTAAATATCTCCTTATTTTACAATCTCTCCGTTTTTGCATAGAAACACGATAATAATGTACAGCAGGGCTGACAGGTCCTGTGTTAATGTGAGCTCTTCTCTTCGGCTTCCTAGACTGCGCATAAGCTGCAGGTCTGCAGCGCCGTCTATGGGAGCTTGAGCAAAACAACAACCTGCTTCCTCCTGAAACCTTTGCGGTTCTGACAGAACTCTGTCACAGTGCAACTTCACATTTGATGAGTTAATGGCTGCTTCAGTTGGTTTACATCACTGTAGGGATTATTCTTGTGAAATAGTAAATATAAAAATCCCATAATTGGAACAAAAAAAACAAAAAAAAAAAAACGACAATAAAAATCTCCAAATAAACTTCATAAAAACAAGAACAGCCTCTGAGTAAAGGCCAGTCTACGGACAAAATACACAGAAGCCAAAGCAGATCGCGATCTATCTACTCGAGATAGTAGAAAGTGGAGCAAATAGAAACAAATGCATTTACTGTTGATCCAGGTTAAAGGCCTTTACTGCTGCCTCACTTTCGCTTTTACGGAACTGCAGATCATGTTCTGCAACATTATCTTCACTATCAAGAATCAACTGAAGTTTCAGAACGACTACCTAAAGCTCACATTTTTAACAGTATGTGGATGCCATCGTCTTAACATACTCCTTGGGAAAAAGCCATGGAACTGCAGACTCGTTTACTTTCGGTAAAAAAAAATAAAATGAAGGCCAATCAATCAGTAAGTAAGGATCAAAACAAGTGTTTAGCATGGTTTTTGGGATCGATTTCAAATTTTAAACAATAAAACAATATATTACCATCTGCTTCAAAACACACAGATTCTGCAGAATCTGAAATGAGTTATTTTTAGTTTGATTTAAAATAGCTGAAATAGATACACTTTTCTTTATTGTCCCTTTACCAACAAGTTTGTAGCTGCAGTCCGCACGGAGCTGACCTACATGAATACGGATATTTATTACCTATCATAATAATAATTATCATCATCATAGTATCAGTAATAAAAGTGAGGTTGTTCTCTGCAGCCGCCCCCATTATCTTTGACAATCTTACTTCCAGGGACTATCAGCGATGCTGCAGTGCAAAGCTGCTGCCAAGCCTGCATGTAATGGCCGACACTCCTTCCAATAACAGCAGAAGATAGAGGGCCGGAAGAAATCTCTAAGAACGAGATTCAATCAGGTACCCTCCAGTTTGCACTAAAGATTTAAACGGAGAAATGTGCTCCTGATTTGTTCACAGAATCGTTGTATTATTTCAGATTATTCATTCTACGCGGTTTTGGTATAAAAAATGTTTTTAATATGAAATGAGGATTAAAAATGTAATCTCTCAGACCTATTCAACCTAACCCTCTAGAGTCTTAACTAAGTAAAGCCTGACAGAATCACAGCAGTGATGATCATTTATATCTATATTTGAAGAACATATCTTTTTTTATCATTTAAAATAAATAAATCCATATTTACATGTAATTTCAGTTATAGCATTGTGGTAATACCATGAGTACTCTTAAAATTCTAACTATTTCAGTGTGATATAAAGAGGAAAAAAAAACAGCTCACACATATCCATCCATCCGGACCTCAAAAATCCACCACCCTTATATTTACCTTGAGTCCTTGATAAACAACCAGGAGCTGCCGGCCTGTTCAGGACTCAGTCTACTGTCTCTGTTGAGCTGAGTCTCAGTGCATGATGACAGACAGGATGTCAGGTCCATACAGTAAGAGCAGGGGGAGGTAAACCTGTCAGTCTTACCTACCTGCTGTGGTTTCAAAGCCCCCACATCCCCACCCACACTTTCTTCTTCCTGTCCCAGCAGCAGCAGCTCTCAGGATGGGTGTTTTTCACTCAAAGACCCTAACAGTCATATTTTCCTCCACATCATTCTCTTTTACTAGAAAACATGCATTTCTGAAAAGAGGTTCACCCTGTATCACCTGACACATGTGAAACACAATTATGGACATGACAGGGTTTCTGTATTAAGTGTTTTGTTCTTCTTTTTCACACATGCACAACTTAATAACTCTAACGCTTAATTGATCATGGCAATAATGTGGGACTTTAAACTATGTTGTGTATATCATAACATATCTGTAATACATTTGATCAGATAAAGTTTTTTTATTTTATTTTAATGTAACTCTTGGTTAAAGTTTATAAGCCCGCAGTGGCTGCAGTCTCTTTTATTGGTAAAAACACACATATATAAATCTTTTGACAAGTTACCTTCCAGTGTTTTTAGGTCCTTTAATGTCTTTTAAAAGCAGTTCAAAAGTGTGTCCTGTTAAAATGTGTGTTTTCACTGATTTTGTACTCTAAAAACTTGATCCTATTTCTAACACGAGGCCACGAGATTTTGAAGTAAAGAGAATTTTAACTTTTAAAAAGTCCAAAATTTTTCCTTACATTGCTTTAGAGTCATTTAAAGCCGGTGAAGTGAAGGTGACATCAGTGCTGTGGGCTGAATCTGCTCTGAAACTTCGGAGAATCGAATCATTTAAACATAATAATAATAATTCAAAGAAAATGTGTGCGCTCTGACACCAGCTCAGAGGAATCTAGACCCCATTCAGTGAATGAAGACTGTGTGAGAATCCAGACTATGAGAAACCTTTGAACAGCTCTAGGATCTTAAACATGGCTCTGCATGCTGCTGTTCAGCTGCAATAACAACCTCGTGCTCTGTCTTTCGCTTCACTGTACAAGATTGCCCCCTATTGGTTTACTCTAAAACGACTACTGCGGTGATGTGCTGCATCAATAAAAACGGATTTAAACATGAACTTTAATAAAATCTTCAGACACAATGATAAGTTTTAATAATGGGATATCAGGGAAAAGACTCTTCTTAATCAGACTGTAGGTCTTGGATTGTTTATGTGAAATAATGAAGTAATGAAGTATATACCTATATACATATATATATTTCCCACCTGTTAAAGGTCAAAGAGACACACGAGATGGACTGACCGAGTGTTTGTTTAAGTGTTTTGGAAATATGCAGTTTATTTCTACGATCGTCAGCACAACCTCTCCACCATCTGGTGTCCATTGCCACTATCTTCACTGGTCTCCTGCCATCTGTTTAACAGTGCTCAGCACCTCTGCGTGACCAAATGCTTTTGCTCTCCACAACGTCATCCACTTTGCCAGAGAGGCATAAAGAGGAAAACCACCGTGATATCGTGCTCCTTCAACCAATAAAACCCACCAGTTAATACAGCTCAAGCTCAGCACCAAATCCCATTTGTCAGCAAATAGCTTTCCCTGACTGCGCTGGCCAGACGCTTCTGTACAGCTCCCTGTCATTAAGATGACATCTTTAGTTACTTGTTGTCTGGTATGACTGTGTGCAGAGTGAAGAAGAAGCTCTGGAGACAAGAACCAAAGAGGTCAATCTGTGTTAGATCAGAAATATGTCTCTAAAATAGGCCTCTCTAGATCTTCATGAATCATCAGTTGGTTGAAGTGATAGCTAAGTAGCCTGAAAGATAAACATTATATCAATGTTTAGAAAAGCCTCAAAACTGAAGATTTAATTTATAACCTGAACTAACACTTTTCTGAAAGTTAGTTGGTTATTTTTATTTATTTTTTTGCAATTGTTTTGTAAAAACATAGAAAAGCTCCGGTATCTGGGATTTTCAGACAGACAAAGGACTGTAAAAAGGAGGTCTTACTCCATAAAAGGAGCAGTTCAGGATTTTCTACTGTGCCTGTCAGTAAAGATATCAGATGGTAAGTGAGAAACACAAGTCAGATCCCTCGTCAGAGCTGTGTCTGAATATGCTTGTGACCTTCATATGAACAGCCAACAGTTGAGCTGGGGTGCCTGCAAGCAGAGATGGTTCCATCCAACTGTCTCAAACCTGGACTCCCTGCTGTGAGGACGTTGCATTTCCACATTATTACATGCACTCGTCATGAAAATGGTATTTTCCCCCCCAAGTATGTTCTGAAGCTATTCATGGCTGAGCTGTAATAGGCGTGACCTTTTTGCAGGCGGGCAGGGATTCTCTGGATTCAGCTGCTCCGTTGTGGTCAGGACTGTGTTCTTTTATGAAAGGTGCCTTGTGCCTTGTTACCCTCCACACACTGCATCATGGCTGTTTGCCAGTCTCTAACACTGACGGAGTTACACCAATATTTATCGCTTAACTCTTAACTCTGTTTTTTTTTTAAACTATCAGTAAAAATGCATTTTTAAAAGATTTTTTTTAAATATGTACTACATCAAATATAGTGTACATAATTTTCTTTTTTCTATATCACTTTTGATTCCGCTTTTGTCGTAGAACTGCTCAAAATGGACAACAAACATACCTGGTGATGGTTAAAAGAAATCTTTTGACATTATTTGAAATAGACTTATTGACTTACTTAAGAGGGAGATGACAAATATCCAAAGTAGAAGTGGAAATCTACAGTGGATGAATGCATGATAAGACGATAGATGGCAGGCTGGCAGGGATGTAGCGATGTGTATATCAAAAATCCTGCAGAGGACAGTGGCTTGCGATTATATTCATTGGCACTGATTACAAAAACAGGCATAGAGAGAATTACCAGTAAACAGCACTCTGTTTCTACAGTCTGATTATAGGTCTGAATTTGATTCAGATTCAGATATATTTATTCTTGGAAGGGTAATTTAGTTTAAAGCCTTCCATACAAATAAAAGTACCAAAAGAAGTTCGAATAACAACTTTCAAAGTTAGAATAAAAAGGTCAAAGTCCTGAGGAACTTGCTGATATTCTTATTTAGTCAGTGACTGTACATGAGGAGTTGAAGTATGAATACTGGAAATTCATTTTCTGGCTATGTATAAAACTTTCACCATAAAGTTTAAGCATAAAGTGGTAATTAGGTAGAAGGTGGTTCAAAACCGGCAAAAATAAAATCTTGACACGCACTTGTAAAATGAGTCCTTTTCATCTTACAGCTCCTATGTTTCAGCTGTCATCAACTCAAAAACGGTAAAAGTAACTAAACTTCTTTATTAATAAAAGGTGGGGGAACTACCAGTCAACTTCTGATGCATGTTAGAAATGTTGTATAACACCATCTCCACCACCCACAACAACGTCGTACTTCGTTTTCAACACTTCAAAAGCTCTGATTAAAACCTCCGTTATAGTTTCACTTTATTTACTATTTAAAAAGAGACTGGAATCATCTTACTCTGAAAACGTTTGGTTTAGCCTCTGAGACCAGAGAGCTCAGGTTCTTTCCCTTTCCTCCAAACCCATGTCAGGACTGCAAGACCATGCAGATGTCCTGGTGTTCAGAGGAGCCTGTAGACAAAGACCTAGAGACAGAAAACTCAGACATGTGCTGATTTTATGCATCTTTTCACCGCACTATGATAATATATAAACATGTCTCGAAATTTGGCAAAATATCTTCTCTTGAAGAACTATTTCATGGCTAGGAACATTATTAGAATCAATACATTATGCAATCCTGTAAAAGAAAATATAAAACAAAACAAAACAAAACAGGAAAACAAGAAAAAAAAATACACAAGTCGTTAAGTGACTTTGAGAGGTGTGGTACACTAGTATTTTATGACCCTGAAACGATCCAAGTTAGTCATTTCCCTCGGTTTATAGCTTGTAAGCTAAGCTTAGCTTATTGGCAGCTTGCTCTGTGAATGATTTTATGTACAAATATGAGGGTAAGTGGCCTGTTTAACCAGCTTTCTGTCACACAGGCTGATCAGAGACTAAGACGCAGACAACAGAGAGACACAGCAGACAAGCAGATCCATGGAAAAAGGATTTATTGAGAACACTAAATTACCAAAACAGATAATAATGCAGGCGGTAGAGATAGGCTGATAAAGCAGGACAAACAAAAGAACTAAAGGAAAGCTACTGTCTAGAGGGAAAAACTTTAAAAAATTTAAAAATGAACTTTAAAAAAGTAAAAAAAAAAAAAAAAAAAAAACTCAGACAAGCTTAAATGTCTACCAGATAAAAAACCAAATTCAGAAAATTAAATAACCAGGAAACAAGCTGAAAAGAAAACAAAACACTCTACAAAACAAATAATTAACTTGGCTTCAACAAACCGACCCAGAGAGCAAGTAGAGAGTCTTAGTGCAGGATCAGTTTAGGGAGAGGGTAAGGGACGGCAGGCTGAGGATGCGTGTGGCATGGCTGAGTGATTTAGAAGTCCAGCAGGTGAGCAGAATGAAGCAGGAAGGATGGGCTGGAAACTTTAATAAAAAACAAACAAACAAACAAACAAAGGATCAGCATCCAGGGTAGAACAAAAAAGGCAGCAAGTTTGATCAAAATTCATTTCACTAACTGTGTTTTTACAGCATTCTAGATCTGAGTTGTGGCTGCGATCTGGTTTTATGGCAGAGGTTGGAGAGTCTGGTGATTACCAATTGCCTGCACCTGTCTGTGCTGCACACACCTCACTCACGCCCACCAGGGGAAAAGGAAAGGAGAGAAGGGAGGGAGGAAGGGAGAGGCTGCTGCCACTAAGAAGAGCTGTCTGTATTAGGGTAAGTCAACACTAAACCATAGGTTGAAAAATGTTGGTTTGTAACTTCAGCTGTAATTTGGTTTCACCAGACTTTGTAGCATTTATCAAGTTACAGTGGAGAGGAAGAACTTCCTTTAACAGGCAGAAACCTTCAGCAGGACCGGACTGATGTTAGACAGTCATCTGCTGAGACTGAGCTGGGTTTAGAGAGGGAAGAGAGGGAGATGGACAGAGGAGAGAGATGGACAGAGGAGACACTGGCCCAATCCCAATGTCCACACTCCGTGAGGGTTTAGGGCTGTCCCACTGTCTAATCACAAAGTGTTTGAGGGATCTCTTGCTGACTTTTTGAGCCCCTTTATGCACCCTTCCTGTGAGTGGGCATATCTGCAGACTTTGTGTAAGTTAATCAACCATAGTTCATTGCATTGTGAAGTTTGAAAGGAATCTCCCGGGGCAACCAGATGACAGCTGCTATAAAATGGAAGTGAACTGAGCAAAATAACAAACAAAAAACATGGAGGGTGTTATCAGTATTGACGCTCCAAAAAAGAAGATCTTGTGTAGGTATATTATATATTATATATGAAAACAGCCTTAATCAACAAAGGAAATAGCCATGTAGGAAAGGTATATTTGTTTTATTTCTTGTCAAGCTTATCAATGCCTATGTGGGAGTAGATCATTGTTTAATGCTATTTTTCTGACTCGACTAAAATGCAGTTTAGTAAAGCAAAAAAGGTAAAATAAAAAGCCACAAAGCTGCAATTTTGAGTAGCATGATGCATTGCTTTCAACAAAAGGCTGTCCCATTCCTATTCATAGTACCTCAAGCCCTTGCCGCCTCATTCACTCAATCACTTTCTGGGTGCAGTCCCTTAAGTCAATGGGGACTCAGGGCTCAGGGTTCAGGGAGGAGATTGAGATTCAGCCACTGATAGAGAGAGATGAAGAAAGAGAGAGATGGACAGAGGAGATACCTGCTGTTAATGCCCACTGACAACTCACTGCAAAGTAAAGGTAAGTAAAATATGACAAAGGGTTAATAATGACAGAACTACAGACAGGTGAAATTGCAGACACATTATCCTAGCAGTACTCTATTGTAATGATAATGATATTTGCTCCACTCACATAAAATGAAAGCAGCAGTAAAGGTCATCATATGTGTTTTAGTGATGTATTCTGGTTCAAAACTTTACCATCCTACCACTGTTTTACAGAATCTCACACCAACTTAGAGCAAGGTTTACAATTGAACTTGGAACTTGTAGCTTCAATGTAAAATACCACAGAAAGGAAAAGTTCATACCAAACTCACTCTTTCACCTCGCTATCTGTCATTGAAGATAGAGATTTTACGAAGGTGGTTGGAGGATAATGTGGAGGTTGGAGAAGGAGGAAATGGGTCAAAGGTTGAATGTATTTTAAGAAGCTGTGGACTGATCTAAGAAATGAGATGATGGGTCTTAAAGTTGTGTCATAATTTAATGTCTACAGACCTGAACATCTCAGTGAGATTGGAATAGGTATATTTCCTATATTAAAATCAGCAACGACAATCACCCCAAGTGATAACCATGACTATTTTCCTGACTTCTCTGTTATATGCTTAACATATGTGCATACCAAAGAGAGTCAGAAAATAACTTTCCATCTAAAAATGAGGGCAAGTCTTGAAACTGAAACAAAAGGAACCTGCAGAACCTGCAGGACAGCAACTCTGTAGACCAGCACTTTACTCAGTGTGTCATCCATTCACAGAACAATGTAGTTCAACCTAGATACTGATACTGGACTCTGCTGCCAAAGACATGTACAAATATAGAAGGTTATGGTTACTGTGAGGGTCAGGGATGAGGAAACAACCAAAGCTGTGATTCTAAAGGATCCCATTTGAGAGGGAAAACCAAAACTGCTGGAGATTATGGATGAATGCTTTCAGACTCTCTGTTGTCCTTACAGAGGGAACAAAACAACAGCAAATATCAAAGTTCACGTGTCTTTGCAGCAGCAATTTCATTGATGGAAAGTTTTGGATTAACTGACGATTGTAACATTAAGTCGGTATATCTTTACTCACTCAGTCAGTATTGTTGGTGTTTGTGGTCTAATGTTTTGACCGGGACCTCTTATTTTCCTGTCTGCATAAATTAGATCATCCACCTCTGCTGAGATGGAAGAACATTTCATGACCATCATTTCTTAAACAGCAGAATTATTGACATTGGTAGCTAACAATTTGCACTGACATACTTTGGAGCAAAAACACTGTGGAGAAGCTACCTGGCTTGTACAGCTGTTGAACTTGAATGTTCCCATTGTGTAGCCTTGGGAGACCATTCATTTGTCCAGGGGGTGTTAGCAAGGGTTTGGAGGTAATTGTGCAGACAACCTGAAAGATGAATACAGCATGTGACATATCACACAGCAACAGATAATGTTAACAGTCAGCAGCATGCAGAGAAATTACAAACTTCTTACCAAGAAATACTTTAAGTGCAGTTTCTCATTCTTCTTTTCATGAAAATACATCATCTAATTCATTTGAAACAGCCATTATCTCAGATTCAGCCGTGGAAGCTGACATCTTGAGAGTTGACCAACATTATGCTCCAGAAAAACTGCAGCCTCCTCAGAAAGTACAACCTGCTCTGTCCCTTCCTGTACAGATGGTCCGTGTTAAATGTCCAGTCCAGCTAGTTGTCCAGCCACAGTCTAAGGTACTTGTATGAGTCTACAGCCTCCACCTCGTCTCCTTCGATCAGAACTGGTCATGACCTTGGTCTGGACCTCCCAAAGTCAGTGACCAGCTCCTTGGTCCTCATGTTGTTGAGGTGCAGATGGCACCTCAGACAGCAAAATCCCTCACCAGGCCCCTGTACTCCTCCTTTCTGCTGTCATTAATACATCCAACGATGGCTGTGTCATCAATGAAACCTCTGGATGTGACACAGCTCAGAGCTGTAGCAGAGGTCTGCACCAACTTAAGGTGTTTGTATGTGTCACACACAAACTCACGCTCAATAATACCTCCAACCCCCAGACAAAACACTGTGGCGGACCTCAAGAATAATAGCTGCTACAATGTGACAGCTAATGTGGATCCTCATAAACTGAAAACACACACACACACACACACACACACACACACACACACACACACACACACACACACACACACACACACACACACACACACACACACACACACACTGATTATGTAAAGGTACACAGGTGTAGTCTCTGGGAGTTGGTTTTACTCTCCCATCAGTCTCTCGTAAACACTTCTCTCCAGCCCTGTAAATCACAGGCTTTTACACCTACATTCACTGGATGCTTGTTCAAAACTCATGTTCAGGTAAAAGCTGGACCACCACCAGGAATATACTGTAGGCTTCTGCATTTATACAGTCATGCATCCATACACTCATGCAGTCATACTCACAGTCACAGGCAGGAAATTTTGTGTTATAAATGTCGACTTAGAGTTTCTGAAATGTATTACAGCTTTTAATAGAGTTTTAAGCTGTTTATGACATTTGGGTGAGAGTGGAGTTATTGGTCAAAGGGGGCTCATGGAGCTGCTGTGGATATTGGCAGGTTGCATAGCTTCACCAAGCTGGTCCTAGGGAGGTCCCAATGACCTGTTTTATACCAACACTGCTGCTTTGTCATAAAAGTGAGAGGAAGTCAAGTCACAATTTGGGTATTTGTTTGAAGCTGAAAAATGGTGAAAAAGTCCTCCTGTGGCAAGGCCATGTGAATATTGTGTGCAACTGTGTCTGGTGGGAGTGGAAGTGCACAGAAAAACAGGCTACTTCAGCTTTACATCCACTTTAAATAGGCGCCCAGGTTCTGGTAAAATCCTTGGGATACCACAGAGGGAAGGAAACCACATTCCCCTCTTATTTTCTGGATGGAAAGTGTCTCCTGTAATTGGTGTTTGAATGCTGTAATTGGATGTAAAGGGGTTTCCAGAGGGAGGTGTGATACAGTGTTAAAACTGCACACAACTCACAGTTTTCTCACCTCTTCAGACTGAAATCCTGGCTCATGGCACCTCTGTCTACACATCCTCTATTGCTGCTGCATTCAAAATGAGATGGGTGAGGAAACCTGTACCTGAATTTCAGATGTCACTCTGACATAAAAATGTCTCTGCATGTGCAGTTTGCATCAGAGTGATGGATGGTGTAACTGTGTTCCAGGATGATGTTTTATAAAAGTAAAAGGGCCCCAGGGCTGGTCTGGGGAGCACATAATCTTAGTCAAAGTGCTCAGCTGGATGAACTAAGGCTTTATTATTAAACACCTATGAGAGTGCTCAGAGCTTGTGGAGGTCCTTGCTCATTCAACTTAACGCTCTCTGGGGGCTCTTATCACACATCCTTGCCATTTAGGCATGAAATTAAAATGCTGCTAAAGATTTCATTTATTAAAAGCATTAAATAACTAAATTATTATGCACTGATGCAATTTGAAAGAGCACAGTTTGACACCTTTTAAACGTGCAGTCAAGATCCCTCCTTTTAACTATCTTTAAAGTCTCAGTAAGTAAGTTTAAGCTCTGTGCAGAGAGAACTGAGAAAGGTAATACTTTTGGCAGTGTGTTCATGGTTTGATGGTGCAATAGAGAATTGGCTATAAAAGACACGGTATAGATTTCACATGTGGGGTAGCACTACCAGGGCTCAGGCAGGAGTACAGGATCAGAGCTCTTGAGATGTGCATGGAGGGCTTTCTGAAAGCTTTGTTCAGCACCTCTGGGATACTTCACAAGATCTTATTTGAATTCCATATTCAGGGTTATTTTGACTTTCTTGATTTATGAATCCCTTGCACCCCTAGTGGACGATATGTTGGTTTAAACATGGAAATAACATTTTCTTAGTGAGACTATGTTTGATAGTAAAATGTTTGGATTGTAAAAATCTGGCACAGTCAATTGGTTCAACATGAAGACTTTTATATGTGAGTTTAAGACCAGTTATAAAGCTTTAATTTTACTGTGCTCTGTAAGGCTTTACCTGAAGTCTATGCCATTCTTTCTCCTCACAACCACTCAACAGTTGAATTTTACATAGTAACTTTCTACAATAGCACCTGTCAGCGAGAGGGAGAAATTTAGAGGCAGATGAATCCCCACATCCAAAATGGGTTAGTGGTAAAGTGCATGCAACTTTGACAAGGATCAAACAGTGACGGCAAAACGACAGGGACAGAGCATCTCCAAAACTCAAAACCTTGGAGAATAGTCTGGTCTGCAGGTGTCAGAACCTTCACAAGCGGACTAAGGAATGAAAACTAATGAACTGGTGATGGGGTCAAGGATAGTCAAGAGTCAGTAATTCATTGATATGAGGGGAATGGAGGCCAGTCTCCACATAATGCATCACAGTTTACTGTACAGTATGTAGGTCTGTGTAACTGCAGTTGGGTTAAGGTATCCACGCTGACCCCTGACCACTGCTTCAAGAGCATACAATGGACACATGAGCATCAGAACTGGACCACTCCTGTAGTTGTGGATTCTGGGCAGTGGGGATCTGTAATTGTCCAGGTGCTGTGAGCCAAGGCCCAGCCCCTGCTGGCCAACATCTGCTTACTGGAAAAGAAGGAAATTCTGCCAGCGACAGTGAAGTTGCGATTTGAAATATTGTCCCTTCTTGGTTTTGTTTTGCTCTTTAGGTGCCGAGAGCTCAAAAGAGTAAATGGCATTGGTTTTATATGGAAATAGGTACTGCCGACGCACAACAGCAGAGCTGCTGATATTCAGTACAGCATCACTTCCTCTCATGTGATACTGCTTAAGCAGTCAGCAGATGTTGTCAAAGTTACTGCAGATAGGAAGCAGAAACAAATGCTCCTCATTACAGAGCTGAATTCAACCCAGTTGCTCAGTAACAAGTAAAAACCAGATCGATGTCTGTGACTGAACAGCAGAAGATAGGCTGATCCTTTCTGACTTGACTCACAGCCAGGTCCCATTCCTTTATACTTAAAAAAAGATGGACTCTGGCAGCAGTTGTTGTATCAACACAGCGAAGATACCTACTTCAGTGTGGAGGAGTTTCTCTAGCCAACATCAAGCTATGGATGTTACTATAATTAAAAAGATACCCATCCACTCAGTCAAGGATGCAAAAGACCATAACTAATACAATGTAAAGCAACTTAACCAGACCTTACTTTCTTTATCTTCTGCTGAGACTTTAAAGTGCCACAAGTTAATTCCTTTATCTGTCAAATAAAAAAAAATAAAAAACATTTTCCAGATCTGTCCATGTCCATTTGGGTTATTTTATTAAGCTGTGAACCCAACATAGGAAATGTTCCTACACCAAATCAGAAGTCAGAGAGTAAGGGTCTGAAAGGATGACATGGAGCTGGAAAAAAAGGGAAGGGGAGTTCAAACTTGAAAAACCAGGAGCCCGAGCTTTGTGTGTTTACCTTTCGGACTTTACAAGTGATGTCAGCACATTGTAAAAGTATACAGTCCTCAGCGGCTCGGCCCTTTGTTACTGTTTTAGAGGACAAGAAGAATACTGGCTGAGAGTATGAAATGGAGAAATGGAAGGACTCTGTAGATAGTGGGTAGATAAAAGGAGGCTCCTGTGGTTCACAGTGATTCCAGGCAGTTGAACTGGGCAGTGGGGATCTGTAATGGTCCAGGTGTTGGGAGCTGAGACCTGGTCTCTGATGGCCAAACTCTGCTTACTGGGAAAAAAAGGGAAGTTCTGCCTATAAACATTCAGCCATCCCTTTCCCTAATCCCTTTATTGTGTACTGGGCTTTAAATTTAACAGAATCACCACGGCCTCTTATTGTGTGTCTCTAAGAGTGTGTTCTTGAATGACAGATCGAGTGACTCCCATCCTTGACTCCAGTGCCTGTCCTCAGAAAGTATCTAATAAAACACATCTCATTCCTGCTTTATTCCCTTTGGTATGCTATAAACATTTCGCTTCCACACACCATCTCCAGGTCTTTCTTCTGCCTGACTTTGCTCATCTCTTAAGTTTTTTTGTGGCATAGCAACAGAAAATTCCCTGAAGTCAAAGCAGCGCTGTGTGATGTAAGAGTAGCTTTATGTGTAAAGGCAATGGAACAGCTTATGTTTTATGTGTGCTCTCTTGGCTCAGACAGCTGCATGGTTGCTGGGGCTGTGTTAACCCACTGCGCTGGGGGTCCCAGTCTGCACTTTGAGTGTAAGTTGAGCTAACCAGTTCCAGCCCAGCTGCAGCAACCCAGCTGAAACTGTAAAAAACACAGATACTCCAGACTGCATTTCTCTGGAGCCTTTAAATCCCATCATCTTAGCTGACTGCAACAGATGATGCCAAAAACACCAACAAAGCAGACTAATGGAATAATGTAGCAAGTATTTATGTTTCTTGGT